CCATTCCTCCCCATCTCTCCCTGCCTCCCCACTACCCTCCTGGTATTGCTACTCCCATTTCTGTTCCTGAGAAGTTTATCTGACCTGGATTCGGTGTGTCATGAGCTCTTATCTGTACCGGTGTATATACTCTTGTCTAGCCCGAAGTGAAAGGAGGGACTGCGATCATGATAGTGGGGTGGTGGTGGTCAGGAATCCTCAAGGAACCAGAAGAATATTGTGTTTCATCGGTGCTATACTGCACCCTGGTTTATTCATCCCTTCCTTGTGACCCTTCTGTGAGGGGAGGTCCCATTGTCTACAAATGTGGTTTGCATCTCTGCTTCACCCTCTTCGTTCTCAACAGTATGTTTTTGCTTTTTTGTTTGGGGTCTTCTGATGCCTGTAATCTGATCCTATCAACACCTATGATAGCATAGGCTGGTGCGCTTTGACATGTGGGCTTGTTGCTTCTCTGCTAGATGGCCACTTGTTTATCTTCAAGCATTTAAGACCACAGGCACTATATCTTTTGATAGCTGGGCACCATCAGCTTTCCTCAACACATTTGCTTGTGCACCCATTTTGTCTTCAGCAATTGCACCAGGAGGGTGAGCATCATGAAATGCCAGGTTGTTAGAACAAAGTGTTCCTGTCTTGAGGGAGGCCTTGAACAGAGGTCCAATGTCCATCCACTTACTCAATGTATTGCCATATAAATATATGTACATAGGTCAATACCTCTATTTTTATTAATTAACATATTTACATATGCACATCCCTATTTTTATACCTCTATCCATAGCTTAGCTTCCTAGATATTTCTTCTGTTTCCTTTGACCTTCTTCTTGCCCCAGCATCATGCTCACCCTTCTTCTCCCTCTTAGTCATTCCTCTCAGTTAGATTGCTGTTGCTCAAACACCCCCAGGATCTCTGTGCCCTCCCTATTGTTGATTTTAATTCCCTAGTTGTTCACCTTTTAAAGTTTATACAGCAGACATGAAAATAAAAGGAAATTGAAAATAAACTGGAATTATGTGTTGAATTCTACAGAGCTAATTTCTTGTCAGGGATAAGTAAGTTATTGATGGTATGATAAGGACTGGCTAATGAGAAACAAGCTGTTTGAAATACTTAGCTGAGGATCTGTTTATAAGATTGCTACATATTATATTGTTTGTTCCCATCATACATTTAAAACCTTTGATTGAAGGCTATCATGAAAGAAATCTTGTTGTTTTTGTTGTTGTTATTTACTGTCAATTTTGTGCTGACTCATAGAGAGCCTGTGCACAACTGACGGAAATATTACCCAGCCCGATGCTAGCCGCATCATCTTGTGACGTATAAACTTATTGTTGCAGGTACTGTGTGAATCCATCTCCTTAACGATCTCTATTTTTTGCTGTTTCTTCATGCTACCAATCATGGGGTCCTTTTTCAAGGACTAATCTCGCTTGATACTACAGCCCAAGTATGCACAGCATAGTCTCATCCTCCTTGCTTCTAAGAAACATCATGGATGTATTTCTTTTAAGACAGAGTTGTTTCTTCTTCTGGTGGTCCACAGTACTTTCCATATTCTTCACCAACTCTGTTGTTCAAATCCATCCATTCTTCTCCGGTCCTCCTTATTTGCTGTTCAATTTCCACTTGCAAATGAAGTCATTGAGACGACCAGGGTTTAGGTCAGCTGCATGCTAGTTTTCATAGTGATATCCTTGGTCTTGTGCAAAAAAAAATGCCAAATAAAATAAGTGATTTTGTTCTTCACTGATACTTCCATGAGCACCAACTATGGATCCAAGAAAACTTAAATCCCCGACAATTTACACCTTTTCTCCATTTACCAAAATGTTGTCTGTTGGTCCAGTTGCCAGGATTTGGTTTTATATACATTGAGTTGTAATACATACTGAAGTCTGAGGTCCTTGAATTTCATCAGCAAGTGCTTCAAGACTTACTCACTTTCAGCAACCATAGTTTGTTATTTGCATATCATAGGTTGTTAATATGCCTTTTCCAAACCTGGTTCTGCATTCTGCTTCATATAGTCTAGATTCTTGGATTACTTTACCTACTTGTTCAGCATACAGATTAAAATATTCAATCTGTGCAAGAATACAACCCAAACCACACTTTTCCTGGTTTTAAACTATGCAACATTTCTTCGTCCTGTTCATTGGACTACTACTTCATTCATGTGCACATTCCATATGAGCAAAATTAAGTTCTTAGGTGCTATGAAATCAGTTCTGAATCATAGCCACCTTGTGTGCATACCATTATACACCTGGATATAATGGAAGGAAACACTATGTGGTTATCATTCATTCTCACAATTGTTGTTATGTTTAAACCAATTATTGAAATTGATCAATTCATCTTGTTGAGAATCTTCAACTTTTTCATTGAATCTCTACCATGGGAGTCAATCCTTCTCCAGGGACTGGTCCCCTTTGATAACATGTACAAATTACATGAGATATACTCTCACCATCCTCCCTTTTAAGGAGCATTCTTGCTGTACTTCTTCCAAGACATATTTGTTCAATTTTCTGGCAGTCCATATTCTTTGCCAACATCATAGCTCAAAAGAATTGAGTGGTTTTCAGTCTTCCTTGTTCATTTTCTAGCTCTTTCATGCATATAGGGTGCTATACAAGCACCACATCTTATCATTTTCTAGCTCTTTCATGCATATGGGGTGCTATACAAGCACCACATCTTATCATTTTCTAGCTCTTTCATGCATATGGGGTGATATACAAACACCACATCTTAGTCTTCAAAGTGATATCTTTGCTTTTGAACATGTGAAGTTCTTTTTCAATATATTTGTTCAATTCAGTAAGCTGGTTGTTTGATCTTTTGACTGCTGCATCCATGAGCATTGAATGTGGATTCTAATAACAATCCTTGACAATGCCAATCTTGTCTTTGTTTATCATAATGCTGCATGATGGTTCGATTTTGAGAAATTTTGTTTGTATTTATATTGAGGTGTTATCCATGTTAGAGTCTGTAGTCTTTGGTCTCCATCAGCAAGTACCTCAAGACACCTTTACATTCATCAAACAGCATTAATCATCTTCATATCACAGATTGATAATGGGCGTTTTTCTAATATTGATCCCAAGTTCTTCATCTTATAGTACAGCTTCTCAGAATATTTGCTCAGTATATATTGAATATGTATAGTGAAAAGATGTAAACCAGACACACACCTTTTCTGATTTTAAATTATATAGTATCACTTTGTTCTGACTGCCTATGTGTGGGTTCCAAAGGAGCACAATTAAGTGTTTTGAAATTTCCCATTCTTCGCAATGTTAGCCATAATTTGCTATGATCCACAAAATCCAATGACTTTTCATAGCCAATAAAGTGCAAGTAATCATCATTCTGGTATTCTCTGTGTTTAATCAAAAATCCATCTCACATCAACAGTGACATCTCTCATTCCACATCCTTTTATTAATTCTGGCTGTCCCCTATGAATGTCCTGGAACTCTACTATTCAGCACTTTGAACATTAGCTACTCACTTCAAACAGTAAGGCTAGCTTTTGCTAAGAGAAAAATTTATTTCCTGAGTATGTATCAGCTACTATGAGAAAGGATCTCAATCTTCTGAAGTTCTAAGTATGTTATCACATTGTTTATTTGTCCAATGTAGTCAAAGTAACATCTGCTTTTCTCAAAGTGTCCACTTGTAATTGGTTCAAAGACCTCTTTTTGGAATAAAAACAGATAAGAAAAAAACAAGTTCTTGCACCACAAAAGAACCCTTCAAGTGGATGGTTTTAAGACAGAACCTTTCGAGCATACCTCAGAGCACCTGTTGACCAATTCCAATAATTTGAAAGAAATAACCAAACCCACTGCCATTGAGTTATTCTGACTCATAACGACCCTAGAGAGCAGAGAGGAGCTGCCCCTTTCTGAGGCTATAAATGTTTAAAGGAATAGGAATCTTTTCTTTCTCCAGCAGAGCAGTTGTGGTTTTGAGCTGTTAACCCTGTGGTAAGCAGCTCAAATCATAATGCATTATGCTACCATGACTCCGATTTCCAACAGTTAGGCTGGACCAGTATTACTAGTTCTGTAGTGACACAAACAGTTAAGTACTCATCTTCTAACCAAAAGATTGATAGTTTGAATTTACCCAGAGGTGCCTCAGAAGAAAGCCCTGACAATCTACTTGCAAAAACCACAGCCATTGAAAACCTTATAGAACACAATTCTATTCTGCAACACAGGGAGTTGCTAATTGACTTGATAAGAATTGATTGATTGGATGTGTGTGTGTGTGTGTGTGTGTGATTATGATGATCAACACCAGGATACAACTTCATTTTAGTAGCGTACACCTCCTTACGCTAATATCCCTTTCAAAGTTCATAGAAACATTCTCTTTTAAAAAGTAATGCAGCACAGTTAATCTCTAGTTTCTGGGAATGAAAAACACAAAAACAAAATCAAAACTTGCTGCCATTTATGTCCATTTAACTCATAGTGACACTGTGGGACAGGGTAGAACTATCTCTGTGGGTTTGAGACTGTAAGTATACAGAAGTAGAAAGCCTTGTCTTTTTCTTGTGGAGTGAGCTGGTGGTTTTGAACTTTTGACCTTGAGGTTAGTAGACCAATGAATAACTACTACACCACCAACGCTCATGTTTCTGGGGATCCTTTCTATATAATCATTAAAATCTTTAAACGTTCATGGTGGCCTCAATACACTGGCAACCATCTCATTGTTGGTAATTTTATTTCTTGCCATAACAGAGCTGGTATTGAATCCCATTTGGAACCACTGGCCATTTTAAAACTCTGTCCAAAAGTTTTCTGTATTTTTATATATCTTCTCATCAGTCCATTGACTGGAATTCAATTCCCAGGCTTATTTATTATGAATACAGGGTAAACTCATCAATGCCAGATAATGTAACTTGTCATGCCCATTTATGAGATTCATTTTTAAGCTTTCTGAATACTCTTTTAAAATGGTGTTCATCATACTTACCTGGCAGGGGAGATACCATGGTCACGAAGGTGGTTTTCCCAGGGCGAGGCTCACCCATTTCATTCCAGATGTCCTGACCGTGCGATTTCCCCAAATGTGGGGAACTCGACTGCATAATTTGTGGTAGTGGAGGACTGTGTTTGCGCTCTCCCCTGGGAAAAAAGATGGTGTGCATATGCTAAGCAGGAGTAATGTTTAAGAATATAGATACAGTTATCCTGAGCATATATTACTGTCTAATAACAAAATTCTTATTTATACTTCAGAACTTCCAGATTTTGGCAAAATGGACTCTGTGTGTGTTAGGGTTTGTTGCTCTGGACTTTCAGACTCTACCATAACTTAAATACATGCAAGTAACTCTTTCTCTAATGTCCCTCACAATTTTATCTGAGAAAGCCACTGAAATAAATTTTTTTTTTAAGTATAGTAGAAGCAGGAACCCACATCTATTGCTGGTGGTAATTATAAAATGGTACATCTATTTTGAAAATCAGTTTGGAAGTTTCTTTTTTGAAAAAAAGTATAGAATAATCTTATGATGCTGTACTTCCACTCTTATGTATACCGCAAAGACTTGAAAGCAAGGACAAGGGAATATCCTTGTACACCGATGTTCATTGTATTATTATCTAAAATAGCTAAAAGATGGAAAATACCACCTATAACATATAAATGGATAAACAAAATGTGAAATAAATTTACAATTGCAAGCACACATAGGAGCTTTCAATATATGGCATTCAGAAAAGACAAACTCCCTCAGAAACAGTAATGGGAGAAATGATTCCAGGAAGGTAGGGGAAGGGAGAGGAAGGAAGGAAGAACGGAAAGCAATGATGGCAAAATAACTACCCTCAGGGAAGAATACCAGGATAGTAGGTTAAAGGATGGAATGGGTGGTATAAGATATGTATAAATAATAATAACAATACATAAAATATTAAGAGTTTGTAGGGGTAGCAGGGTTGGGGAGGAAGTGGGGGGGGGGAAGTAGCTGATATCAAAGAGCTCAATAAGAAAGGTAATGTTTAGAAAATTTTCAATGCCAGTAATTGTACAAGTCTGATTTAGATAACAGATGCATGGTTTGTTATAATATATGTAAAACCCCCAATAAAATGACTTATTAAAATATATGTATATAAAACAACATAATAAATAAAAATAAATAAATTTATAATTGCAAATTTTCAGAATAATGACAAAGTCTGACACAAGCAATGACATGGCTAAATCTTCAAAGCATACTGTTAAAAAGAATTCAGACAAAAATATTATGTGATTCTATTTATAGGAAATATCTACAATAGTAACTACAAAAGTATAGAGACACTAGTTTATTGGTGGCTACCATAATGATACAGTGGTTAGGAGTTGGGCTGCTAACTGTAAGACAAGGTGTTCAAAACCACCAGCTGATCTGAGGGAGAAAAACAAAGCTTTCTACTCCTGTAATGAGTTACACTCTTGGAACTCCACTGGGGCTGTTCTACCCTTTCCTGTTGGGTCACTTTGAGTAGGCATCAACTCATTGGTAGTGAGTTTTTGAGTTTCAGTAACCAGGGTAGGATGGATGGCGGAAAGGTGGCATGTCATGGATTGAACAGTAGTCCCATGGTTAGCCACACAGGTAAATAGCAAGGAGAATGGAAAAGACAGAAATTTGGGAATAGTGAAGTATGGCAGTTTCCCTAATGAGTTCTGTGGGGACAACTGCATGCACTTTGCAGGGTGTGGACTCTCTCTGGCTCGTCCTTAGATGGCTGGCATTTAACGTATAGTAAGTAGCACTTCTGTCCAACTTGCAGCATGAGGCCTGGAAAAGGAAACTAGACGCAGGTCAGCAGAGAATCCATTTTTCTGTTCACTGTCAAATATTAAAGCAAGAGAGCAATTTTTTCACTTGAAGATAACCAAAAAGGAGTAGCTGAAATAAAATGTTTTTAATATGGAAAAATGAAAACAATATCATACTTCAGGGTAGAACACCAATATTAAATATAAACAAACAAACATTTTGTTAAAATAAGCAGAAATAAGGACTTCTGGTAAGATGGTGCTGAAGCAGTGTGGAGCTTCAGCAACTTGTGGTGGCCTTTTGCCTGGGCTATCCCAGCCTGCATGACCTGTGCTGCAATGGGTTCGAGCCATCACCAGCCTCCCCGCCCACCCTCTGCTGGGCTCCCTGTTGCCACAGCCACCATCCCCTGACTTCCCATGCAATTGACCTGCATAGTGCCATCTGCAAAACTGCCCTGCCCATACTATCTGAGATGGTTAACTGATTTGCACTCCAAATAGGTAATCCTAGCTGTAGAGGGAGAGAGAGAAAACCCCTAGTAAGATAGAGAAGCAGCCTGATCCCACAGTGCCGCTGGCTACAGGTAGCCTTCAGAATCATTATTACTAGCCTCCCAGAGAGACAACTCAGGGCTCCTGACTTCCAGGAAAATGGCACCAAGCTCCACCAAAATGACATACAGACAACGTGCAGCAGCAATTTCTACAAGAAATCAAGAGAAACAAAATGCATTGTTGGAGGCAGACCTGACCCTAATGTTGCTCATAAAAGAAGCAGATGTTGAACTGCGGCTGAAAGAAATCTTCAGGATGCTTGTGGTAGTTACATAATCTGTTGTCAATTGGAAAGGATTAAAAGTGAAGGAATGGAGTTTAGTCTGTCAATTGGGTGAGAGCTTGATGACCTCATTTGGAGGCGCTAAGGAGATAAATAGCTCACTGGAGGTGGGATGCAGGCTCAGTCCCTGTAAGACATTCCTGTTGACAAGCCATATTGAGATAGGCTGATGGCAGCCAGGGCCTTGGAGCTGGAGAAGCCGCATGGAGACCCCTGACAGTTCTGAGATGTTCGCACCACCACTGGATCCATAAGACTTTCCACCTACTGGCCTGTGATCGTCCTGCATTCAGCATCATTGCATGCATTTTGTGAGTCTGATATGGTATCAGACATATGGGCTAATATTGGACTTATGGACTTGATCTGGTCTGGGCTGGGATGTTTTCTTAATATTCATTTGCTCTTGTATATAAAGCTCTTTCTTATACACATATGAGTGTCTATGAATTTGTTTCTCTAGTCTACTGAGACTAACACAATGCTCCCTAGAGTCAAAGGATTTGAGGGAATCTATTCAGAATGAATGAAACAATAGAAAAGATAGAGTGCACAAACTACAGGGAAATAAAAGAGTTAAAGGATGAGGCAACAGAATCAAAGAACAAGGTAAGATGTCTCACCAGCAGGCTAGAAGTAGAGAATAGTATCAGACAGAGATCTCAAAGATAGCCAAGGAGAGTTCAACAAACGAGAAAGGCAATCAAACAAGGAAATCAAAGAAGCGGAAGAAAATCTGAGAACAAAGACTGACGTTATGGAGAAGAACAACATTAAACTAATCAGAATACCAGAACAAGACACATGAAAAAATCCACAGCCAAAATAGTGAGGGAATTCCAGGAAGAAAATTTCCCCATCTTAATGAATGAGAATCAGACAATCATCCAGGAAGCAGAGAGGACACTGATATTACTGAACTCGAGGAAGAATTCACCTATGCATAAAGTAGTCAAATTATCCAACTTTGAGGAAAAGGAGAAAATCATAAGAGCATCTAGAGAACAAAGGGCAGTCACCTAGAAAGGTAGTCAGATAACATGCTCAGACTTATCATCAGCAGAAACCATGAAGAAAAGGAGAAAGTGAAGTAGCATCTTCCAAAAGTTGAAAGAGAATAACGCCAAACCAACAATCCTACCAAACTATCCATTAAAATAGACAGAGAGGTAAGAGTTTTCTTAGGTGAGAAAAATTCAGAAAATAGGTTTAAAGAATCCCACCACTACAAAAAATTCTTTCCAACTCAGTTTGGATGGAAGACCAACACTTATTGAGCACAGATACGAGACCACCACACAGTACAACTTCATCCAGAAGCCAACAAACCAAAAACAACCCCCTAGATAACACTGATCCAACAGTGAATACCCCAGACAAGTACACAACATACTGACAAGAAGAGAGTTAGGAAAATACTTAACACAAAAGGTATGAGATGACAACAAATAATTCACAGATGGATGTAATATCTTGAAATCAATGGTCTGAACTCACCCACTAAAAGAAAAAGGCTAGCAGACTGGATTAGAAAACACAACCCATCAATCTGTTTTCTGCAAGAGACACACCATTAGCTTGCAGACAAAAATAGGTCGAGAATCAAAGGCTGGCAATAAGTATACCAAGCAAACGGCAATTTTTTAAAAGCAGGAGTTGCAGTCCTAATCTCTGACAAAATTGCTTTCAAGGTGCACATCATCACAAGCGATAAGGATGTGCACTATATAACCCTCAAGAGATCAGTAGATAAAGAGGAAGTGAGCATAATCAATATATACGTGCCCAATGACAGACCCATGATATTTGTCAATCAAATTCTTCAAATGATGAAAAAGATATCACAGGCTCGACAATCATAGCAGGTGACTTCAATAAACTGCTCTCTGAGAAAGGTATATCAATGGGAAGGAAGCTCAACAAGGAGGCTACAGAACTAAGCTCCACAATTAGGCAACTCTACACGATAGACGTATTTAGAGGGCTCCTCCTAAATGCAAAATTAAAAAAAAAATAAATTCACATCCTTCTCAAGTGCCACACAGCACATATTCAAAAAATGGATCACATGCTGGGACAAAAGTAGAGCCTGAGTAAATTCAAACATATAGAGGTCACTCAGACTTCCTTCTCTGACCACAACAACATAACGTTGGAAATCAACAAAAGAAAGATAAAGATAAAACAAGGGCAAGCATTTGGAATGTGAACAAATTCTCTTCTTCAAAATGAGTGGGTACTGGCCCAAATTAGAGATGAAATTAGGAAGGTTGTGGTAGATACATAATCTGGTGTCAATTTGAGAGGATTACAAGTGAATGGGGTGGAGTCTGGCCTGTTAATGAAGATATAACCAATGAGGCCTCTGTGTGGGCATGGCCTTTTCCTGAGAATTCTGTGAACTCCTAGATTTCCTCCTCGGAGGTGGCAACCAGTTTCTCGCTATCTGCTTACATCCTTGGAGACTCTCTAATGACAGGGCTCACTTCCTTGGGGATTCTTTACTGACAGGAC